AGAGGTTACCGGTTGTGAAAGCCTCAGATTGAGGCTCATAGGCATGAATTAACACGATTAGCCACAGCCTGTATTTACTGAAATCCAAGGGAAACGGATGCCATGGTAACTGGTGAGGCATTGAATCTGAAAATGACAATTAGGCGAATTGATTGATTCAAGCGCTGTGAGTTACAATTAAAACGTAGTCTTTTAAGCTGCACAAAACTTTTGTGGTCAGCTGTCGTTGCCCGAAATTGCAATCTGTGATTAGGTTATTGTTGAAGCAGAGAGAATAGGTTCCGTGATAATCTGGTCAACTGAGGCAGGATCAAAGTCCGCGGATTGATATTAAAGGTAGTGAGCGCTTGAACCCAAAGTTCAATTGCATCGTCTAAGAATCTGGAAAATCGGGTCCAAAGTCACAGTTTAATTATACCTTGTGATCCTCTGGAATGTTTGTAGGATCGTCCGGTGAGATTTCTTGTGGCTGACCTGCTGCATTATCTAAGTCAGCGAGGTATCTCTCGAAAATATTCATTTTTGTACCTGGGAGGCCTATTCCGCGCCTAATGGGATTTTGCTGACCATTAGTCACTGTGAGTGAACGCACACGACGGATATTCTCCCGAATGTGATTCTTTTGGGCTGCAAAATTAAAGAAATGATTTCCATTTTGTTACTTGTAAACTAAACTAGGGTCGTTATCGAGCAAACAGATGGTGACCATTGGCAAGGTATGATATTTTGCTTGGTAATATCTAATAATTTGCGAAAATTAATAGATTGTCTTGTGCTCGAGGTTTCAGATTACCAACCCTACTGAATGACTTCCTCAAGACGCCAAAATCCACGATGTTTCTGGAAAACCTTTGGTGAGTTATAAATCAATGAGATATGCTTACACGTCTTGACAAATAAAACAAGCGACGACGAACTGGTAAACATAGCCAATGTTGTGCTGAGCGTGAAAACTAAACGTCAGGCATACATACCTGAGGCTGCCTGACGTTCAGCTGCCTTGAGGTTATTAAAGTCGACGGAGCCCGGTCTTGGAGAGTTTTGCCACTGAAGCACACCCAAAGCGTCACCTCGAGTCGCTCGCATTGCCTAACCTGAAAGAGAACAATTTACCCCTTCTGTTTGCATGATTATTAGCAGGAGATTAATTTTAAAAAATAGACTAGATTGTAGATCGTTCTAGGAAAACAAATAACCTATACTAGCAAAGAAAGATTGCAATATCTAGAAGGATCTGTGTTCATGATTTTTTGAATAAAAATTACAAAACGTTTTGTTTTTTTTTTATTTAGACAACGATTCAGGCGACCACACAAGGTGATGCATCATAGATGTTCGTCAAATGACGAAGCTAAGTTAGTGGCATCCAGCTTTCTGGACCCACCTTTTTCTGAAAGAAATTATCTGAAAATTTTGGCCACTTCAACGGAAATTGTACATACATTCAAAAAAATAACTATTAAAATGTTTCGAGATCATTTTTGAAAAATTTATCGTACCCCTAAGGCTCTCTTATAGGAAAAGCAATGACATGCGTGATTATTTTTTAAAGTAACAGCATTCAGATCTGCATTGAGAATATTGAACGAATGATAAAGTTCAAAGTAAGTGTTACTATACATTAAACATTATAAAGATTAAGGTGAATTGCATCAATGTTTTCTCATTACTTCTTCCATATTTATGTAAACAGGAAAGCTTATTGTCTCATAGAATATGAAGTCAGAATTAAACCATAAAAAAACAGATTTCTTTCTGACATAACAGCACAACCATAAAATGCATTTTGACAATTAAGATATAAACCAAGCAGAAACTCTATAATTATTGAGTGAGATTTAAGGTTGCTTAGAGGCATCCAAAATCTTGGCTATGTTTTAATAAAGGACTTTTATTTGCCACTTCTTTACATCTGTATTATATCTTAAAATATGCAACGTAGTTGGCAACATGTTATAATAAGAATATTTAATGTGGTCATTAGCCATTATGGGGGCTTTTTGTCTGAATAAGGACAACTTGAAACTAGAGACCTCGGCCAATAATTTTTAAGTCTGAATTGAAGTCGTTTAAATATGTTATTATAAAAACAGATAATTTAATACACACAGCTACACTTAATTTGGTCAGAGGTGATTCTAATGACACGCATTCTTTAAATGAATAACAATAAAAATTTTTAAGATTTAAAAAAGGAGATAAAACAGCATTCAGTTTTAGTTAAAAAGCCAAATATGAGCATAAGTGGGTGTGGCGTTGACCTAAGAGAATATTTATGTAAAACGGTGATTCTTCCATTGTGAAAAACGCGCCAACATCGCCAAACACAAAGGGTTAACAACGTTTTCAAAAAGTCCATTGTTTGTAGAACTTTTAAACAAAGTTAAGTCTAAAGTTACATAGACACAAGTTTGCACGCAGTTATAATGAATTTAGAAAACGCTTTTAATTTTAAAAATCAGAATATTTGCAAGCAGGCTATCTCATGCAAGTAAAAATCTATGCATGGCTAGTTGTGTTGTGGGTTGCACATATTAGCCAAAATGTGAGAACAACCCGCGCTCACACAATGAGCTCGGATCTTTTCCACCACATATCATTAAAATATTTACGCTTATGCTTATTTCATTTTGTGAATGCTTTTTGTCTTGCTGTCAATAACCTCATCTTCGTTTGCAATTTACCGCATTATGTCGTGTTGAGGTGCTCTTGTCGGCATTGTTAATTTATTAAATCTTGATTTAGGACATCTAATGCAATTCCCTTATCCATTATTTTACTAATGCTCATAAACACAGACCTAGGCCATTTATTAACTAACGTCGCTGTAATTACACTACCTTTGTCCCAGATAAGAAATCTTCCCTGAAATGTCTTGTTTTTTTCATATGTACTTGTCTTTAAATGGACATGGTTCGATCAACAGAAAAAAAGGAATGCAGATGACACGTAGCTTAGCTAGTTGATTGATGCAGTAGTAGCGTTGTTATACGTGGTAACAAGTCGTCATTTTAAGTAGAATCGGGCCAAATCGATCTCTGCATGAACACAGGTACACGAAATGCATTCACATAAGTCGATTTAATCGTGTTCGCTCACGCTTGCTGTTGGCCACATGCATGCTCTTAAATGTAGCTTACACTCTTTGATTCCGAGAATAATATGATGAACTGTCATTATTTGTAATGCCTTTTTAACTCTATTTCATTTTTCAACAATTTCTCATGATTAAGTGCGTACTTTTTTCTCGTTGTTGTTGCATTGATACGAAATTAAAAAAACAGTGTCAATGCTATTACAACGCTGATGCGGAATATTCCACCAAAAATGGTCAAAACTTGAACTGTTTTCGTGTTGCTTTCAGATCGATGCTTTACAAAGGAATTTCGGATCTTGATTGGTCTTTTGTTCTGTGTTTCTGCTTGACAATCTTGGTTGCAACTTGCGGATATTGTGGTCTTCGCAGACTCCTTAAGTGTGACCCACAACATCTGGACCAAAGGACTTCTCAACAACTGTCAAAGAACAAGTCATCACAAGTCGTCAAGACCCGGCTAATAGCCTCGCGTATGTTGACCCCTTTACTATCATTTGCATTTTCCACTTTTGCAATCCTATTCTTGTGTGCCTTTGCCTAGTGCACTTTAAACCTTGTCATGAAGTTTCTTCGAAATTCTATGATTGATCCATTTATTTAACCGAGTTCAACAGCTATGAAAATCTATGAAAGAAATGTGATCAAAATAGTTTGGATAGGCATAGTCCCGTCATCGTTAAGTAAACCTGAGCTTGACACTAGTTTTGAGTGTATAGTAAAAACTCGTTCGTTATACTCGTCTCTCCTGTCTCACGTAGTACTTGTTTACTGTTATGAGCTACTTTTGGCCTGATGATCTTCTCTAGTAATCCTGAATAACATAGTTGGTAAGGTTGAATCTTCTTCTTAGCTGTCACTGGCCTGACTCATGTCAGTTTCTGTCCCTCTCAGCTATACATTTATCCTTCCTATAATCATCAATATGTCACTGAGAGTTGTACTGTATCTCCGAGCTAATTCATTATTTGTTTTCCTTACGTTTCCCGAGGATTTAATTCTTATTACTGAGGGTGCCACTTTACTCTTGTTTTCCTTCAGAATCTGAACCGAGACTGAGCAAACATCCGAAGATGAGTCGAGATCGCGAATTTCTGACTCATCTACCCTCTCGTGTGAAGAAGCTGCATGAGAAGATGAACCTGTCCGAAATGAGTCCCTCGGAGCGAAGGGCCGAGATGACCGCACGAAGCGAGCAAATGGCCGCCATCCTCTCCCTCATGCAACAGAGGCCGGACCAATTTGGACAGGTCTCTTACGACGACTTGCACTCACAAATGTCCACCTTCTACACTGTCTCTCCAGTTGCTTAATCATCCATTTCAGGTTATTTCTTCTCTGGCATTAGCATGCACACACCAAGCACATTGCACTTGTCTACTTACGTCTTATCAATGCCAATACCAAGGCAGTCATATCCTTAAAGAATTGTCTTTTATTTTAACCAACACACTTTGTGTAAATTCAATCGCAAAATTCGGACTCAACCCCATTAATTTACAGATAATAGCCACACCAACAGGGTTTCCAAGCTCAGTGACCACTTTCCACTGTCCAAATTATCCCGAATAGCGCAAGAGCTGGGCACTGTTTCAGATATATGGGCCGAATTTACACTAGATGGCCACCACACTACAGGCCAGGCGCTGCACATTACTCTAAATCAGCGGTCAGCGTGGACAAATTCATAAGGAGAAGGGAGGGAACTTGGTTTGATCCGTGTTTGTTGTGAGGACATTCTTATAGGGGTTAATCGAATTTCCTTCATGTAGTACTTTAAGTGATCTACATAAGATGATGGGAACTCAGCAGTGTGGTCAGAGTTCGTGACCATTTCGCCAGGCAGACGCAAAATTGTACAGAATACAGGTTCTACTGGCGTGGAGTCGATATCTTACTTTACCGTATTCCGAATGGCTAATAAAATCAATGGTAATGAGTCAGACCAGTGATTAGAGGCAGCTTTCGCAATAATGGCTGATTTCAATTGACGGTGGAAACGCTCAACCGAACTATTAGATGCTGGGCGATATGCTGTAGTTCAAAAATGCTTGCATCCAAGAAGGCGGTTTAGGTCTTGAAACAGGCAAGATGTAAATTGTGCACCGCGATCAGACGTAATAGAACTGGGAACACCGATTAAGGAAACCCATGATTCCATAAACGCGCGAGCAACAGTTTCAGCGAGGCCATCTTTAATAGGTACTGCCATAGGCCAACGAGTAAAGCGGTCCACACAAGTTAGGACATAAGTAAAACCAAGAGACGGCGGAAGAGGTCCGACTAAATCTATGTGCACATGACGGAAACGGGCGTCTGGAAGGGGAAAACATCCAGGTTGTGAAATATTATGACGGTGGACTTTGCTGCGTTGACATGGAATACAGAGTTTAGCCTATAAGCGAACATCTTTACGAATGCTAGGCCAAACAAAACGGTCAGGTACCAAGCGCACAGTGGAGCGAACAGCAGGGTGTGAAAGGGAGTAAAGGGAATTAATTAAATATTTTTTTAAATGGGGCAGGAACAAAGGGTCAAGGCCTGCCAAGTGATGCATCACAAGTAATTTTCTTGCAGTAGCACAAATTTGTAACCTCTGCAATTGCGTCTTTACTAGCTTGAAAAGCAGCTTCAGCCTCCTGAGTAAGCGTTAGACTCTTGGGATTACCGTTAAGCAAGCCAGTCAGGGGGGACAAAATTTCAGTGGCATGTGGAATGAACCGTGCCAGTAACTGACCAAACCAAGAGAACGGTATAAACTAAGGAGAGATTATGGTATTGGATACTCCTGAATCGCTGTTGGTTTCTCGGCCAGGGGTCTAATACCATCTGCGTTAATTTGTGTCCGAGAAATTCGATAGTGTCTACACCAAAAACACATTTCTGAGGGTTATTATTGATGCCGAAAGAGTTAAGACGGGTAAAAACCTGCCGTAGGTGCAGCAGATGTTCGTCAGTCTGCTGGCGATAAGAATATCATCGATGTAGACAAAGACGAAGTCGAGATTACGGAAAACGTGACCCATGAATCCGTGAAAGGTCTGTGCTGCATTGCGTAGGCCGAAAGACATTCGTAGGAACTCAAATAGGCAAAATGGAGTTATAACGGCAGTTTTAGAGACGTCTTCGGGGGCCACAGGAATCTGATGATAAGCCCGGGCAAGATCAAGTCTTGAAAAGACTTTAGCACCGTTTAAACCCAATGAAAAATCGTGGATATGAGGGATGGAATACCGGTCAGGGACTGTGACACTATTTGAGGCTCTGTAATCGCCGCAGGGGCCCCAGTTTCCAGATTTTTTGGGTACCATGTGTAAGGGAGCCGCCCATGGACACTTTTAGAGAGGCGGATAATGCCATGATGGTACACATGTTTAAACTCTGCTCTAGCTGCTCCGAGCTTATCAGGGGCAAGTCGTCTGGCCTTGGCGGTTGTTAGCGGACCCTTAGTCACGATATGATGCATGACTTGGTGAGTAGGTTCGCAGGGCGCCTGAGCCACTTAGACAATCTCGGAGAACTCCTTCAAAAGTTTATCATATCTGTTAGAGTCGGGCAATGCCAGGTGGATTCCAATCGAATTTATTGAAGCAGAGACTCCTTGAATTGAGAGTATTTTACTTGAGTCTATGAGCTTGCGTTGTGCCATATCAACCAATGGACCGAAATTGGAAAGGAATTCAGCACCAATCATTGGGCGCTAAACGTCAGCTATACTAAAAATAAAAGAAAATTGTAGTCTTAGGCATAGATCTAAGGTAACTTTTGGCCATTCGTTAAAATGGGCGAAGTTTTCGCACCTTGAGGCTGAAGAACAGAACATTTAAGGTGACGACTGTCAGGCCCTGGAGGAATTAAGAAAAAATCGAGACCAGTGTCAAACAAAACTTTTAAATATCTAAGAGAATCTAGAACGTAAAATAGGCGAATTTATTAAGTGTCGAAACGAGTCGTCGATATCACTGACGGGACTTAAGGTTTACAAAAGGTAAATTGGACTAGAAGGCGTGGGATTACTACATGTATTTTGACAGGCTCCAGCGTTGTCACAATACCACCGACGATACGAATATGGAATAGATCGTTCAAGAGAACGCGTTGATCTGCGAAATCTTAATGACCACAATTTTCTCCCAACCTGTGCGTGTATGCGCGCCTAAACACCACTGACACCACTACCTACTCGTACAACTCTTCTGTCTAATACTCCAGCGAGTCTTCAACTA